GACAGGTTGCTGTCCTCTGAAGATGCCGGCCACAGAGACTGGCGAAACGTCACGAAGAACAACCTTCAGAACACGGCCAAAGAGCCCGAAAAACCCAGAACACCCATTGAAATGCATTAAAAACCAATGGGCGAAATACCTCACCGTCCAGCGAAGAAATGGGCGGCCATTTTCCGGTGCCTGTCTTGCGAAGAATCCGTCCTGAACACAGCAGGGAGCCATTTTGAAAACCCGACGATCAGCTGTTTTTGATCATCGTTAAGCGAAAAATCGGTTCCCCAAGAAGGGAACCTATCGTTGTCAAATGAAAAAAGCCCATTAAAAACATCGTTTTACGATCGCAATAGCGATTGCAAAAAACTAATCGTACAGCAGATTCGTCGTCTAATGGGGTCGTCATGAAGTGGGGCACCACTGTAATTGGAATTATTCTTAGAAGATATTATTTAGAATTATTATGGGAAAAAATATTGATTTGTTCAAATCCACCCCCTCTAAATGTATCCTTATTCCAGTTATCCCTCACCCTACTGTACCTCTATAAAGAGAAAAAAAGAGAAGTCAGAGTCTGTCTAGGGAGACAACCATTTTATATCCATATTACAGAATGCTCGGTTATTAATATATACAGTGTATTAAGAACCCTTCATCTCTACTGAGGCCCTTAGAAATACAAGGCAAACAGGACAATCCTTGCACAACAGAACAGATGACACAACTCTGATAACAGCAATGGCAACATAGAGAAACCTTCAGTCTCTCAGGACACTCGTTATGGATCTCAAAATGGCCATTATGGGGGTGGGGAAAGGGAGACCCTAAGAAGGAGACAGCAGAAATTGGCTATACAGTGGTGCCTCGCTTAACGAGTGCCTCGCTGAGCGATGAAATCGCTTAACGAGGCACTCTGGGCCATCGCTGGGGTTTTTTCGCTTAGCGATCTTCGCATAACGAAGCCGGGGAGAACAGCTGATCGGCGGTTCCAAAATGGCCGCCGGAAAGTCCGCGCCGCATTTTCGCGCCCTGCCCTCGCTTAACGAGGGCGCGAAAATGGCGGCGCTATGAAGAAACATCGCTGAACGGTGAGTTTTCAAGCCATAGGAACGCATTGAACAAAGTTCAATGCGTTTCTATGGCTTTTTTTATTCCGTTTAGCGATGTTTCGCTATAGCGAAGGTTAATCCGGAACGGATTAACCTCGCTATGCGAGGCACCACTGTATAAACAATTTCTAGTTTTATTTTATTTATTTATTTAATTATTATTGGATTTATATCCCGCCCTTCTAGACAGGAGTCTACTCAGGGCGGCTCACAACATATTGTGCACAAACACATAAAACAACCATTAAAATCTACAATAATAATATGATAAAGATGGGAGAATAAACAACAAAAGCCAAGAAAGTACAATCAAGAATTGGCGGGAGGGAAGGCCTGCCTAAAGAGCCAAGTTTTTAATTGACTTTTTAGTTTTGCTTCCCCTCTCTTTTTCTTTTGCCAACACACTTTCCATGTTCAACTAAGCAGCATAAAACAGGCAGGACATCTGAAACTAATTCAATGTGTTGTTACTGTTTTAAGGTTAAAGAACTTCCTCTTTATTTTAAAACAAAAGCCATCAACCCAGCCTCAAGCAATCCTCAGCAGTACATGTTGGGAAGGGGAATGTCTGCCTGTCCATACTTTTGCCATGGCTCCTCCTGCAGTTAACAGCTCTGCCCTCTGACCACCTAGTCATAATGGACACCAGCCAGCATCAGTATGAACCCTCCCCACAAACCACCTCTTTTTGTCTTCTCTGCCAGAGTTCTGAAAAACAATAGCAGTGGATTTTCCCACAGCTGAATAGAGAGGGTTCAAATCCTTCAGTCCTGAGACATCCTGCCTGAGGCAACTTAACTTATATACTGCCCATCTAGCCTGAGGCCACTCTGGGCTGTTCACAAGATCAATAACTATAGCCTTAGTTAAGTAGCTACAGAAAACATTTCATCATTTTTTTCAGTTATGTTTACAGATAATGGTGAAATACAATCTACTGTCTTTTGCCCCTTCTCAAAAAATCTTACCTGTCTTTTGCAAGTGCTTTCGGCTGATCATCTATTTCCATCTCTTCAACATCTCCAGTCACAGCTTTAACAATACCATTTTCTTTGTTCTCTTCATTTAGGAGCTCATACTGCCCATTTTCCAAGGCAAACCTCCAACTTTGCCGGTCTGTTACCTACAGACAGTGTATTTACTATGAGGCTTAACACATGCAGCAAAACCTGAAGACAGTTTTTAAGTTGCATTTTCTAGCACATAAAAATATCAGACAAAATCCTGTTGGTGCTTTATGTACGTGTTAATTTGCACAACTCACTGTAACAAATTGCTTCTAACTAGTGCAGTGCCAACTGCACTATGAGATGCATGCCTGTGCAACATGTACACTCCTAACAATGCAGCTGGTGCTTTTGCTGGTTCTAATTCATTGTGGCAGTTATGTAGTTTAAATTAGACACGTATAAACCACCAACAGGATTCTGAACATTATCTCCATACAATTTGGTAGCTTTACAAGTGCCATTCTTCATAAAGTATAAGAAGTAAAATACCTTAATGGAGCCCAGAGTTCCTTGGAAGATTCTGTCTTCAATATCCAAGAGAAAGTCCCTGAGCCTTAATTCGAGTTGTTTTTCTGCAGACATTAGAGATGCATCATGGATATTCTGTGTTCTTCCTCGCCCTAGATGTGGCTTGATGTCATTCTGAGCTTTCTCTGTAACAGAGGCCAAGGATATAAGTAACAGTTTACATTTCCATAACCAGAATATACAGCTTCTTCAAATGCAGACGAAAAAGGAGACCACCTAATCACACATAAGCCCTAAGCAAACATTCAGTATTAATAGATGTTCTCATCAATACAGGTGGCTATCTCCAAGACAGAATCCTCATTCTTCTCAAGCAGAATTTAGCAGCAGTATCTTCTCAAACAGTGAAAGAGAGAAGACACTTAAAAAACATACAGCATAAGCTAAGAAGAGATCAAAATGTAAATATTGGCAATTTACTGCGGCAAGTAATATCCTTCACCTGTTTTTTTTTAAAAATTCTTTTGATGACAGAACTTCAGTTTCACAAAAAAATGGCAACAGTACTACAAAATAGTTTAATAAGCAATAGAAAGTCTAAAACTCAACAAAGCCTGGCTCCCAGCACTGAAAAATACAGCCTGCAAAAGGTCAATGACCTCTACCCAGCCACAAGGACTGGTGATCACTGCACACAAAAGACTATCGCTATGCGAGGCACCACTGTATTGGCAATTTACTGTGGCAAGTAATATCCTTCACCTGTTTTTTTAAAAAATTATCTTTTGATGACAGAACTTCAGTTTCACAAAAAAATGGCAACAGTACTACAAAATAGTTTAATAAGCAATAGAAAGTCTAAAACTCAACAAAGCCTGGCTCCCAGCACTGAAAAATACAGCCTGCAAAAGGTCAATGAACTCTACCCAGCCACAAGGACTGGTGATCACTGCACACAAAAGACTAGCTAACGACACCCATCAATCACAGTGACATATCATCTCTCCCCCTTATTACAACAAATACACCCACAACAAAAAACACGCTGATCACCATAATCACCCAATCTCCTGAAATGGACAAATGCTGATCCCACAGCTATAAATACTCAACCATCCCACAAACTGCACCAGAGTACAGACAGAGTTCTGACTCCTATTCTCTGAAGATGCCGGCCACAGAGACAGGTGAAATGTTAGGAAGAAAAACCTTAAGAACGGCCAAAGAGCCCGAAAAACCCACAACAATCAATTAAAAAAAAACACAACAAACACATAATTTAAGTAGATCATCCCTATTTAACATTTTTTGGGTTATGCAGATATTATTTTATTAATATTAACTATTACAAGATGTAAAATATTCCACATTTATTAACATTTAGTTTTATACTAATACACTGTCTCAAGCCACTGGCTATTATACAAAAATTCATTTAATAAATTGTGCTTTAAAAATTTGTAGCAAAATCCTAAAGGAGTTAACAGTGCAGAGAATACAAGAAATACAGCATGTTTCTATTTGTAAGGTATTTTCCATATTTATTTTGTGAAACAGCTCATGATGGGAAGAAGTATTATAGAAATAAAACTAGACCTGTGACAACCAATGGAAACTAGAATACATTAAAAAAATCTAGACTATTTATTTACCTGAAATATGGAATTTTTCCACAGGAAAACTGTTCAGTTTTTCATATATTCTGTTTTTTTCCTGCAAAAGCATTTCCTTTAAGGCACTTTCTCTGTATCCTCGAGAATTTAGAGCTACTAGAAGTTGTTCCAGTTGTTCCCGAGAACTGTAAAAACACCAGCGATTTGGTTTATGTACTGGTTGTGGCACCTGACCTTGGTGAACATTAGAGGTAGATTCTGTCTTTAAAGATTCTCCAGTTTTAGTGACTGTTTGAGATTTATCTGCAGTACAAACTTGTACATTATTTTGGAATGATGATGGCCGAGGTATCAACATATCTTCTGTTAGACCAGAATAGTCTTCTTCGACGAATAATCCTGGAACAGATAGGAAAATCCAGTATCGTCGGTAGAGACGGTCACGGCCTAAAGGGGAGATATTTGTACAGGCTGTGGCTTTTTGAATTTTTTCTGTAAGTTCCCTTTCTTTAATTTGCTGCTCCTGTTTTAAAGCTTCTTCCTCTTCTGGAGAGAATGGCTCACACTTTTCACCAGTAGTTTCTACTTGCTTTGCCAGATCTTTAAAGCCATTCTGTCCTCTTCTTCCTAAAACAGGCAGTAAGAGAACTTACACAACCATGTGCAATACAATTTATAAGTCCTTTCAGTGCACTATGTTTATGTGGCTAGTGTAGTACTGTAGTAAGTCACAACTACATTGAATCAATGGAGCGTACAGAGTTGACTCACCAAATCCCCCAAAAATACAATGGGCCTACTCTAGTTATAACTTACTTCTGGATTTCAGCCACTGAGTTGGAAAGAAAGGCTTAATATTTTCCCCCCTAAATTTGCAGCTTTGTTAGATCTGCTTTTAATGGCCATGGGGTACTTTTGTCTGAAAGCCCCTGTGCTTGTATGATCCTTATGGTTTCAAAGATTGAAATAAACCAGATAGCAACTTAAGAAAGAAAAAAGATGTGCTAATGTAACAAGGGTACAAAAATAAACATACTGTCTACCCCCACCTCACCACTTTTGAAACAAGTATAATCAGAAAAAGGTATGCCTCTGATATTTGAAAGTAGATTTTGTACTTTGGATCCAAGCACTAAAAATCCACCAAAAATTAATCTCCATGATGGAAAATGGTTCTAGGTAAAGGAGTCTTAAGTACAGAATCAGATGAATGGAATAATTTATCCATCTAACCTGATTCAAGCTCCCACTGACAGGATGAAAAACCAAGCTGTACTGAAGTATCAGTTCTAATCTTCCTCTTCTCTATACCTGTAAAAATACATGAATTTACCTCCTCTTTTCTTTTTGTTCAGTACTACATCATCTTCATCATCTGTTATACCCTCTAGATCTTGTTCCTTTGTTTCAGCTTCTTTGCTCTCTGTACTTGTATCAAGCTCTTCTTCTTCTTCTTCCCTGACAGAACAATCATAACAAAAAACTAGAGAACAAGCTCAAAGAATGAGATACCTGCACAGCATACTGTGCAGCTGTAAAGTTGCATGTCAATCATCTGAACATCACATTTAAAGAAAAACAAACAAACAGAAAAATTAGGGTCTTGCAATAGTACAATATCCTGGTAAGTGGACGGAAATGTTTCACAGTGCCCACATTAGCACATTTACTGGGAAAAGAAATACATTATTCTAAGCTTATTCTGGTCAGTTAGTTCCTCAAATATTTTATATTACAAGTACATACAGACACATATACTGCATTATGTTACATATGAACATATTTTATATCTGCTTTAATATTTATGCCACTTATAATATAAAATAGGATATACAGACTAGTATCCAATGTTTCTATTTATAGAACTGCTTCTGTTTGCAGAACTGGGTGGGCAATTCCCGCCCACTGCCCTCTGAGTGCTCCTAAGGGCTGGAGAATCCTCTAGGACTGTTTTTTAGGCAATGCCAAAGACCATAAGAGACACCAGGAGGTAGAGGACAAAACTGTTATCATTCTGGTGGATGGACACCACCGTAATGTTGGGTATAGGCCATATTTAGTTACTTTTGCACTTTATTGTCCTTGAAGCATATTCAATGAATGTTGCTGATGAGAGTGTGAGGTAATACGGGACGTCTTTATACTGATGGAAAGATAAACTTACACTGGTAGTATACACAGTAAAAGTACCATTATCACTTATACGTGTGAAACTATAAATTTGCCTGGCCTCTTCACTGGGAACGTTCAAACGATTACTAAAACATGGCTGTTTAGACAACCCCTCCCAAACGCTAAAACATCTTAATACAGTGGTGCTTTTAATAACTATACATTCAACCCTTCACCATGCCTTTATTATTTTATTTTCATTACCGTTGCACTTTGTTTTAAGTTGTTAATCGGTTATTCTTGGGTTGTTGTTTTATAATGATGGTATTTATAAACCACCCAGAGTTGCCTTGGTAGCCAGATGGGCAGTACAAAAATAAAAATAAATAAATAAATAAATAATAACAATTGATCCTACCCAATAGACAAATCTACAGAAGGATTTTTCTGTTGTTCTTTCAGTTTCTCCTGTTTCTCTTTCATCTTTTGTTCTTGCTCTTTTAATCGTTCTTCTTTCCTCTTGCGGATTCTGAAATTATGTAAACAGCCTGTTATCATGCAGTACCTTGAAGTACTTCCTGTGACCACATTTCTCAGTTGAAAACAGTGACTGAGTAAACTCATTTGTGAAGCTGTTCTTAAGTGGAATTGTTCTTAAGTAGGGACGTTCTTAAGTAGAGACCCCACTGTATATAATAAATACTGCTTTAAAAATCATAGCTGATTTCATCATTTAAATGGAAAAGAGAATAGGTCAGTGGCAGACCACATTCTCTCTCTGCAGAAGGCTCCACTTTCTGTAGCACCTCCAACTGGGGAAGTATGAAAAAAAGTCCTGCCTAAAACTCTGGAAAGTGACTGCGATGCGTTATAGGCAATAGAGTGAATTAGACAGAATAACAGCCTGATTCAGTATATGGCAGTTTCCTGTGTTTTCAAGGTAGCTCATTAATTCAAAATTACAGTTTTATACTAAAAATTTTTAAAACAAATAAAATTACTGTTTGAAATAAGGATAATCAAACTAGACATCAATATATTTATTTTTCTAAACTAAGTAATGATGAAAGAATATAGGCATTATAGAGCAGGGGTCCCCAACCTTTTTAACCCTGTGGACTGTTCGGGGAAGGCAGGGGCACCCCATCACACTCGCACACATGCCCGAAGGAGCAGAAGGGTGCTTGTGTGGGCGCATGCGCAAATGGCAGTGCAGCACTCATGCGGGCGATTGTGCGCATGCACAAACAGTGGTGCAGTACTCGTGCTGGCACATGCGCAAATGGTGGTGCAGTGCTTGCATGCATGTGCAAAAGGGTGGGGGCAGTTGTATGGGTGCTGGCGCGCATGCACAAAGGGGCTGTGCGGGGGGAGTGCATGTGGGGTGGGTGGGAGGTCTGTCTCCGCGGCCGGTCTGGCTCAGGCCACGGACTGGGACTGGGCCGCGGACTGAGGACCTATGTTATAGAGGATCCTATATTTTATGTTGGCTTTTTTTCATTTTGGAAAGAGTTGTAACTTAGCTTTATCATAGGCATGTTTAGTCTTTTAGTTTCTCACCTTGCTGCTGCAGCTTCTCTTTCTTTACGATGTTGTTCTGCTTTTAACTCTCTGAATTCCTGTTTTGCCTGTCGCAATACATCAACAGAGTCCTCAATGAAGTCTCGAGTAGAAACAAGAGTCAGAAGTTTCCCACAGAGGGCATGAAGTATCTTCATCTTCTCTCCTAATAAATTAATATTTATGTATTCATTCATTCATTCATTCATTCACTTACTCGTTCTACCCTGCCCATCCAGTGGCCAGCCACTACTCTGAGTGGTTTACATTAGAAGAATACATAAAATAAAACATAGAAAAAGAAGCATCTTACCCACATAATCTCATGTCACAAACATGTAAACCCAGATTTTAAGATGGCGATGACAATAAAATCAGTTTAACTAATGAAAATTAACTATTAAATAATTAAATAGGAAGCAGGTTGTCAAAGACTGGCTAAAGAGCAATGTTTGTATTTGTCTTCTGTTTGCCAGGAAATAATAAATAAATTACAAAATTAGAATTAAAAAATTAACAAAAACAACTGGAAAAAAGAAAAATAATAACTATAATAACTAGCAACACAATTTTTTAAAAAAGTTGTTAATTACATATTGGGTCAACTGTACCATACCAGCCAACCCTGTGAGATGTAAAATATCCCATAAAATGAACAAGTCCTCAGGTACAAACAGTCGGTGGAAGCAGGTAGCAGAAAGTCAAATCACTAAATCCAGAAGGCAGTACAGTCTCATTGTCAAGACTAATTCCTCATATATCTGATTTTTCTCCATTTCCTAAGCCAACTTCAGGAACCTACACATACATACTCCACAGTCTATAATTCCACAGTCTACCATTTTGTCATAGTTCTTCACCATCAATCATGTACCAGTCTAATCACTATGCCAGAAAGCCCTCCATAACGTCATCTGTCCCAAAAGCCATTCTGCACAAATTCCCAGCCTTTTTCTTGCTAAACCTCTCAGCCTCCAAGATCTTGCACTCTGGTCTCAGGTACTGCCATCTAGCTACCTGTGGCCGCTGACTGCTGCTAATGCTACTGCTTCTCAAACTTCAGATCCAGGCACTCTCTCGGCCTGATGGAAGAACGAAGAAGAAGAAGAAGAAGAAAAAGAAGAAGAAGTAATGCATAACATGAACGCAATGCATTACCATCTTGAGTGGGAAAAAAGTTCATGCTTTATTGCACAAGGCAAAAGTCACACTCTGAAATTTCAGTTGGCCCCATCAAAGAAGGAAGATCTATGCAGAAGTGATAACAGTTGGCCCCATCAAAGAAGGAAGATCTATCTCCATAATGCAGAAGTGATAATCATTATGTAGCACAGACAGTTGAGATGACATAAGCCTAAAACTGTATTATCAATTTCCCAATCAACTGGAGCAAGAGTACTGTAGTCTTAACAGTAGACTTCCCAATCAACTGGAGCAAGAGTACTGTACTCTTAACAGTAGACTTGATGATGATGATGCAGCATTTCTCCCAGCAAGGGACCCAAGCGGCTCACAACATTAAAATTCACACAAACATGATAACCAAGCTGTTGTTTAGTAATGCACATAGGAACTTTTTGTAAAGTATTTGCTTGTCTACATAAAGGTCAGATGCATGTAACTACAATTCACAAAAGAATTTTTGGGCTTATGTCCATTAAATATTACTCACTTCCCTCCAGCTTATATGCCATAGAGAAAGCTACTATTAAAACTGTTGAGAATTTCAAAAGCTGTTTGTGATATGGCATTGGGAATTCAAAAATGCTAATACAATAGCTAAAAATCCCACTGTACTTACCCAAACACTTGAAGACCCCTAAAGGTAGCTCCCTGGATCAGAGACAATGATTCTTAAGAGTGGAGACATAAAATCTTGGTGGAAACAAAGTTTAAGAAGTACCAGCCGAACCACAGTCTTTAGTCATAACTTCATATCCAGTGTTATGCTCAACATTCTTATACAGCTATATGTGCCCTGTCTAACTGTGACACCTTTTTGGACAATGTAAGCTGTAACTCTCCAAAAATTTGTACTGCTGTGTTAAACCATTAAAAATTATGCAAGAGACTCAAAAACATCTGTGACTTTATCTTAGCAAATCTTTCTTATTTTGAGAACCTCTGCCATGTAAGTGGACAAGTTTGTTTTGCTCTGTTACCTGGTGATAAATCATAGACCGAGGTATATGAGAGTTTCTTCAACAGCCCAGGATAACTCAGTCTGAGCTCCATGCAAGCATCATCTGTAGCATCAAACCCTCCTCGCTTCTGGTAACGATATTTTGCATTGGCTGATGTTACATCTGCACCTGATGCTAGGATATGAAGTCTAAGAATCTCAGAAAGTGTGCAGCTATCAAGATCCAAGTTTTTCAAATTGCAACCTACAGTTAACAACAGAATGAGGTTAGGTTATTTGGCTTATAAGGATATTTTAAAACAATGTAAATTATACTTTTTGTAAATTATAGCAAAACAACATAACAAAAAATTGAAACCCACACATACCCTGATGTAACTGGGGCCAGGCAGCTGCCAAAGTTGCAACTGCAGATAGAGCAGATTTTGTGGGGTCTGCATCTTCATCCAAAGCCTCTGTTAAATCTTTAAGGAAATAAAGACTTTATTCTAGTGTAAATTAACACTTGCATTTGGGAAGTGAAGCAAGCAAGCAAGGAAGCCTTTTCTAAGCAAAGCAGCACAGAGACAACATATAAATTCAATATTCGGGTATGCTGCAGAACAACAAACAAATGCATACTATCTAAAGCCAGATGATGCATGCAACAGCCATTAAAAGCTTCTTCCACCACACACAAGTTGCCTGCAAGATCACAAATGCACACATGCAAAGGAAGATAAAGCCCAAAAATAATCTTGCAAAAGGAGGTTTAATGAAAGTAGTCAGAGAGCATCCCGCTACTTCTACACCTTAAAATTAGAAGCACAATATTAACAGGCACAAATACCAAAGCTGACAACCATTCAGTGCTAATTTGCTACACTGCACAAATGATTTCATATTCCACAGTTGATGCACACCAGGTCTAAAGCAAATTCAGGCACTTGAGACGCGGCAGCAACATAATCCAGAGGGACAAACAAAGAAATGTCCAAACATCATACTTAAATAATTGATGAAACAGCAATACCTGTTGGGGAACACAAATACTAGCTAGGATATGATTCACCATCAATGAATCTGTACAATGTATGCTGCATCCCCATCAAGGAACGATGACCACTTTCACACATGCAGGTTTTAAACAATCTTAGACTTCACCTGTTCTTATGGTAGGAAGTAACAGGCATTCCTTTTTAAAGAATACATTACTTACTTCTGAACTATTTATTTATTAAATTTGCAGACTGAAATTCATTCTTTCCACATCTACCCAGGAAGAGTGACTTGATTTTTCATTTATTTGCTGAACTTAAACATTAAATACTGTGAGGGTTCATTTGCTGGGGGGTCAGTCACACGCAATAAAGGCTGAGACGGGTTAAACAATCCAACAGGTTCAGTATTTATTGGAACATTAACGTTAACAGAAGTTTGCTCAACCATATTTAACTTCTCTTGGGCCTCCGTTCTAGGGCGCAAGGGTGTCCACAAACTTCCCAAAAAGGGGTTAGTCTCTTCTGCAGTCCAAGGACCAGTTACATCCTTCAGTGGTCCTCCAGCTTCAGGAATACCATCACTCGGGAGAATCAAGGGAAGGGTTTCTTCATCGCTGCTCCAGCCCCATAGGGACGACTCTTCTCCGGGGCCTTCCAACCAGGGTCCGGGTAAATCCCCATCTTCCGCAATTCCTCCATATGCCATGCCTTTTTCCTTTCTATCTCCTTCAACACTGCCTCTCTCTCCTCTCGCAACTTACGCCTCCAGTCCTTAGCTTCTGTTTCCCCCCAATAAGAGGGTCGGGGTTTCAGTCCTTGTCTCCTTCTTCTCTCCGCCTCCTCATGCGGCACCCTCACCTGCTCCCACTTGCCGGACCACGGATCTTCCCCTCAGATCCATTCCCAGCCACCTGGGATCTCTTCCCCCTTTCCCCTTATATCCCCGGCGGCTGCCTCTATCTCCTCCCTCCCTTTTCCCGCCGAAACCTTCTCCCCCTTTGGCGTCAGGGTTAACTCTTTCAGCACGTGAGTTAAGTCTCGGGTATCTACTCCAATCTCTTGCGTTCAAGATTCTTCAGGTATCACTCCTAATCCCTCAGTATCAACCTGCTTATCCTCGCGACGGGGTGGAGAAGGAGGGGGTGAGGTTTGAGTAATTTGGGTCCGCGACGGGAGCGATGGCACTCCTACATAGGCCTCCTGTATGGAGGCCTCACAAATACAAAGACTCTTTCCGAACTCTGCTGATACAATGGTCAATGAACTTACTACCTTCTGCTTGTATTCAAGTCAAAGTTCCCTAATGATATGAAATAAACTACAACACAAAACTAGATACATGGTCAGTATGTAAGATACTTGTTGCTCATAATTGTTCCAACTTAACACTGCAGTTGGTGCATATGATACCACATACTGGAGCACCTTATCCAAGAAGAGAATACTGGAAACTGACTTGGAATGTTAATTTATGCTGGGATTTAAGACGGCTTTGAAAATATAAATGTCATAATATCTCATTTGGGTTTGACAGAATTTTTCTCTCCTTAAAGAGACATTAGCCACTCTCCTGACCCATTTAGCCAGTCCTTCTGCCACAGCTTTCATACACCAGCATCAAGTATATGTTTGGTAGGTTTTACCTCCCCAAGAATATATCCAGATCAGCTGGTGAAATTGGACAAAACCCATTGCAATTGCACAACTACTAAAGCCCATCTTAACTCCAAATTTTTCTGGATGACACTGATTATATAGACCTACTTCAGATATTTTCAGATTCAATACTATGAATCACCATATTCTTCTAAAACACCCAACGGGAGTATCACAGTCCTTAATGTTTCCTAGAAAACCTGTTCCATAATGCATTGCTGGGGGACTACTATTTGATATTTTGTTCACTGGACTATGTTATTCTTCATGGTCCTATTCTGTCTCCCTTCTTATTTAATATTTTAATAAAAGTTCTGAGAGACTGTCAAGGATTTTTAAGTTGGTTACCCCATCAAGGATTTTTAAGTTGGTTAAATACCATCTAATTCCCTTAAAATCCAGGAAGCTGTTAATGCCCATAACAATCCAATGGACTTCCTGAGAGTGTACAATCTGAAACTCAATCTAGACAGAGATGCTCTTGGTCAGAAGAAAGACAGACCAATGCATTAGGGTTTAATCAATTTTGTACAGAGTTGCATTTGCCTTTAAAAACTGGATTTGTACTTTAGGGTTAACACGTTTATCTAGGTCTTGATGTTGGCCACAGACCTTTTAGTGACTCAATACTGGTGTGACAACCATGACTTCCTTAAAATACCTGATTCCCCCACCATGATACTAGTTTAGTAAAATCTCATTTGGATTACTAAAATGTGCCCTTGAAGATTATTTGGAAACCAGCCTATTCATAATGCCACAGCCAGCCCAGTGACTGGGGTTTGCTATTGGAGACATTGCTGGGGGACTACTATTTGATATTTTGTTCACTGGACTATGTTATTCTTCATGGTCCTATTCTGTCTCCCTTCTTATTTAATATTTTAATAAAAGTTCTGAGAGACTGTCAAGGATTTTTAAGTTGGTTACCCCATCAAGGATTTTTAAGTTGGTTAAATACCATCTAATTCCCTTAAAATCCAGGAAGCTGTTAATGCCCATAACAATCCAATGGACTTCCTGAGAGTGTACAATCTGAAACTCAATCTAGACAGAGATGCTCTTGATCAGAAGAAAGACAGACCAATGCATTAGGGTTTAATCAATTTTGTATAGAGTTGCATTTGCCTTTAAAAACTGGATTTGTACTTTAGGGTTAACACGTTTATCTAGGTCTTGATGTTGGCCACAGACCTTTTAGTGACTCAATACTGGTGTGACAACCATGACTTCCTTAAAATACCTGATTCCCCCACCATGATACTAGTTTAGTAAAATCTCATTTGGATTACTAAAATGTGCCCTTGAAGATTATTTGGAAACCAGCCTATTCATAATGCCACAGCCAGCCCAGTGACTGGGGTTTGCTATTGGAGAATATATGACACATAAGTATCAATTTTTTTTATTTATTTATTTATTTATTTATTTATTTATTTGATTTATACCCCGCCCATCTGGTCTATACAACCACTCTAGGCAGCTTACAGCATAACATAAGCATTAAAACCAAGAATATTACATAAAACATCCAATAGGAAATTTCAATACAAAATGAAGAGGAAATAAATAAAGAGAGTGAGAAAATAAAATCAAGTACTGACAGGAGGGAAGGCTTGAACGTACAACCATGTTTTAAATTGGCTTTTAAAAGTAACCAGCATAGGGGCCGCTTGGATCTCCGGAGGAAGGTTGTTCCAGAGGCGAGGAGCCACTGCCGAGAAGGCCCGATTTTGTGTCTTTTCCTTCCGGGCCTCTCCCAGCGTCAGGCTCCTCAGCCTCACCTCCTGACTCGCACGGGTGATCTGGGTAGAACTTGGTGGGAGTAGGCTTTCCGCCAAATATCGAGGTCCTAAACCGTTTAGGGCTTTATAAGTTTATAAATCAAAGTTCCACTTGTTCTTGATCAATTCAAAGTACAAGTTATAAAGCTCTACATCAGTGGTCCCCAACTTTTTTGACACCACGGATCAGTTGGGGGAGGCCGGGGCACTCGCACACATGCACGAAGGGGCAGGATGCTCGGGGGCATGCATGCAAGCACATGTGCATGTACAAAGGGGTAGGGGCGCATGCGCACTCATGCAAAGGGGCTGTGCGTGCAGGGTGTGTGGGAAAGCTGTCTCCTTGGCCCAGTCCACAGGCCGGCACCGGGCTGTGGAACAGGCCTTGAGGACCTCTGCTCTACATGACATGACCACACTGCCTAAAGGACAAGCCCAATATTATCTTCTACAATATGACTCTGAGCAAAGTCTGCCAGAAATTTACAGGCACCAAACTTTGCATTACCTCACATCTGAGGCTTGATTATTCCACTCCCAGTGTTTCAACTTTATGTTAAATAGATACATGCAGATATCATCTGAAGAGCATATTATCAGGTCATCTCAGGCTACTGATTAGTCTGTATGACTTTCCAACTCTTCTGTCAACACCCCTTTCCTTTAACAATACCCTTAACAGCTGGACTCCACACCCCCATGGAAATGTTTGAGTGTGAAAGCTATTGTCTCTGAGATACTGATTAAAAGAACTAAAATTTGAACTAAAATTAAACTCTCCCATGATCCAGAGTTTCAGATACTACCATCCCCCTCACTCCTGCTCCAAAAAACAATTGCAAAATGCTTGGAAGATTTTCCCTTAGGACTTTGATTATGCAAAAGCAAAGTTTATTCAGTTTATTCTATGCTTAACTTTATTTTTACCTCACTATTAAATATAGAATTATATTATTTTGCCTTTTATAAGATTAGTCTTACTCATGTGCTAGAATTCATGAGATGTTCCTTAGGTTAGTTTTTAGGGAACTTAAAGAAGGGCCT